GGGGGTGTTGTGGGTTACTTGCTGTACATATTAAAGGAATCATTCCACTGTACTCTGTGTCATTGTAAGTCCCGGAGGAATGCTGATCATATGTAAAGGATTAAACAAGCACACATCTGGAATTGGTGTCTGTGTTTTATTTATGTGAACTGCCCCCCTCCTGTATTCCCTATCGGGATGTCTGACAAGGACCGGAGCGGAGTATGGTAGATAATGGGGACACACCACAGGACAATATTCTGTATACACTGAGAGGACGGCGGAGTGACTGAGCGCAGTGCGAAGGATGAATGTGCTTTGTATGGAGGGTCAGGAGTGGGGGACCCGGGGAGCGAACACACAAACAGCACCACTGCGTGTGGGCATTGAGGGACCCTTTTATAATGATACCCTCCTGGGGGTCACCGCACTCACCCCTCCTTTCCTCTAACTCAATGCTACTCTATACAGCAGAGAAGGGGTTCATAGTGGGGGGGGTGCAGCAGAGAAGGGGTTCATAGTGTGGGGTGTGCAGCAGAGAAGGGGTTCATAGTTGGAGGTGTACAGCAGAGAAGGGGTTCATAGTTGGAGTGGAGGTGTACAGCAGAGAAGGGGTTCATAGTGGGAGGTGTACAGCAGAGAAGGGGTTCATCAGATTACTGCCTATAGAGTGAACTTTAGGCGCAGTACCTCCAGCGGCCTGCAGGTGGCAGCATTCTCCCAGCACATGTGCGTTCCAGTGTGAGGCGCACCCCGGAAGTGTAAGACGAATTGCCTTTATAAATGATTGGTGGACGCCAAGGCTCCGCCCCCTGGGTGATGATGTAACTAAGATGGCGGCGCAGTGAAGACTCCGGTGTACCGCGATCTGTATCAGGTGAGCGTTATCCCCGTCCCTCCGGAGCAGCCAGCCGGGCGGGACATTACACCCAAGGTGTCCTGCTGGGGGTGGTAGTGCCATGACTGGGAGCACTTCAACTGCTGGTGAACCACAAATCCCAGCATTCCCTGTGCTCCTGGGGAGACACGTGCTGCAGATTAAAAGTTACTCTTCTGATCTACATAATATACAATGTAACAGTCTGTGATGTCACGTGACTATCTGTAAATGCACTTTATACAGAAGCTGCTGCATTTTGACAGTATAACGCAAAGCAATTCCCGGCTGTCATTTCCCAAAACCCATAATAGTGGTTACATTGCCCCCGTCTCCCCCTTCTCATTAGTATTCCCCTTTACATCATAGTCCCTTCCCCACCACCTTTTAGACCATTTGCAAAATTGTGACCAGAGAAGGGGGTTCATAGTGGGGGGTGTACAGCAGAGAAGGGGATCATAGTGGGGGGTGTACAGCAGAGAAGGGGTTCATAGTGGGGGGTGTACAGCAGAGAAGGGGTTCATAGTGGGGGGTGTACAGCAGAGAAGGGGTTCATCAGATTACTGCCTATAGAGTGAACTTTAGGCGCAGTACCTCCAGCGGCCTGCAGGTGGCAGCATTCTCCCAGCACATGTGCGTTCCAGTGTGAGGCGCACCCCGGAAGTGTAAGACGAATTGCCTTTATAAATGATTGGTGGACGCCAAGGCTCCGCCCCCTGGGTGATGATGTAACTAAGATGGCGGCGCAGTGAAGACTCCGGTGTACCGCGATCTGTATCAGGTGAGCGTTATCCCCGTCCCTCCGGAGCAGCCAGCCGGGCGGGACATTACACCCAAGGTGTCCTGCTGGGGGTGGTAGTGCCATGACTGGGAGCACTTCAACTGCTGGTGAACCACAAATCCCAGCATTCCCTGTGCTCCTGGGGAGACACGTGCTGCAGATTAAAAGTTACTCTTCTGATCTACATAATATACAATGTAACAGTCTGTGATGTCACGTGACTATCTGTAAATGCACTTTATACAGAAGCTGCTGCATTTTGACAGTATAACGCAAAGCAATTCCCGGCTGTCATTTCCCAAAACCCATAATAGTGGTTACATTGCCCCCGTCTCCCCCTTCTCATTAGTATTCCCCTTTACATCATAGTCCCTTCCCCACCACCTTTTAGACCATTTGCAAAATTGACACCAGAGAAGGGGGTTCATAGTGGGGGGTGTACTATCACCTGATGAAGCCTGGAGGCGCTCTGGTTGGGGAAAGGTCGGGGGAAATTTACGAGGTACAGAACTTGAGACTTCTCCGAAATGAAAATAAAGTTGCTTGGGGGGAGTGGTAAGGGAGATAATGACCCTGGCTTTTAATTGGTTAGACCAGGGGGAAGGGTGCTCCAGAAGGGGGGAGTAGCCTGTACTTGGGGGGTCTAGGCTCAGTTAAAGGAGAACTATGGGGGTTAGGGTTTTTCCCCATAGTACTCCTTAGGGTAACGGGAGGACACAAACTAGCGTCCTCCCGTCACCCTAAGCTCAGTATATAGCTGGCGGTATACTGAGAGTGAAAAGCACCCCCCCCCCCCCATAGTTCTCCTTTAAAGTTTGGCCATAGCTGAGCCCCTCTGTGCCCCCCCCTTCCCCACACTGTGACGCTGCTGGGGGGTGACCTCTACATAACGCCTTTGTCCCTTAGCCGTAGGAGCTCATCATGGAGAACTACCAGAAGGTCCGCGTGGAGGAGAAGCCGGCCGAGTCGCCTTTCACTTCCCTCCCCCCAGACGTCATCGACATGAAGGTCAAAGACGGCAGCAAAATCCGCAACCTCATGGGCTTCGCCATCGGCAAGATGGAGAGCGATAGCGTGCGCCAGATTGTGTTCAGCGGCACGGGCAAGGCCCTCAGCAAGACCCTCACCTGTGTGGAGATCATGAAGAGGAGGGTGAAGGATCTGCACCAGATCACCAAGATCTTCTACAGGCAGACCGAGGAGATCTGGGAACCCATCGTACCCGAGGTGGGCCTGGACCCGCTGACTGTAAAGCGCAACTGCCCCTCCATTTGCGTCCTCCTCAGCAAGGACGCCCTGGATACCGCCGAGCCCGGGTACCAAGCCCCCGGCAGCTACGAGTCCCAGTGGATCCATGAACTGAAGGTGGAGAACCAGGGGCCGAAGAGAAAGAAGCCCGGCCTGGGCCGAGCTGGGGCGATGGGACGGAAGCAGCAAAGGCCACCTGGCGGCCGAGGGGAGACCCCTAAGCAGTCATAGAGGGGGGTGGGGGGGATTTATAGATATGGACTCCACCTGAGGAAGTATGGTCAGATGTGTACAGGGGCTTCCCTGAACCCAAGTACCCTCCGCTCCGACCTTTACCCTCCGCTCCGACCTTTACCCTCCGCTCCGACCTTTACCCCCCGCTCCGACCTTTACACTCCGCTCCGACCTTTAACCCTCCGCTCCGACCTTTAACCCTCCGCTCCGACCTTTTACCCTCCGCTCCGACCTTTTACCCTCCGCTCCGCCCTTTTACCCTCCGCTCCGCCCTTTTACCCTCCGCTCCGCCCTTTTACCCTCCGCTCCGCCCTTTTACCCTCCGCTCCGACCTTTTACCCTCCGCTCCGACCTTTTACCCTCCGCTCCGACCTTCTCTTGGAGGAGCCGGTCTGCTCATGTTGGGTTGTATAGATTTGCAAAGCCTAGAGGGCAATGGCGGGACTGTAGCCGGGGACTGCAATGGCCTGTGGCGCTAGCAGTGGACGGCTACAATAAGCTTTCTCCGGCCGCCATTTGCAGAGTAGGAAGGTCCGAGGTCCTCATCTACGTACTTGTTTCAGGTCCACCATTCAGGACGTTGAGACCAGTGGATTGACATCACAGCCAGGCACCTGACTGAGGGGAGCTCCGCAATGGCGGCCCCCATATATCTCTAATGACGGATTCCCTTAATGAAAGTATGGAGCCGGCTCCTGGTGCCGGCTTTCCAGGGCTGTGCCCAAACCACACACAAGGTACCTGCTCCAATCCCGCTCAGCTTTACTGATCCGGACTACATGATCACCTCCCTATAAGGGGGAACATCAGAGGGAGGAACTGGTGTGGTTTAAGGTTAAGTGGGATCAGATTGGGTGTATGGCTGCCATCTTTATGTTCTTGATGAACTCGTATGTGTCTGAGGAATTCTCTGACCCCTTGAGGACGGCACAGAGACCTGGAGGCAGCAGAAGGAGGGAGGGGGGCGGGGGGAGGGATCAGGAAATGGAGGCCTACGTTTTCTACTCCCACCCTCAGATTCTCCTGGAACATGACCAGTTGGGTCCTAGATTGGATTAGCCCCTTCCCCCGATCCCAACCCACACTGCACTACCAAAATGAAAGCTTGCACCTGATTGGCTGCTCTGACTCCGAAGTTGCGAGGACATTTGTTGATCATTGAAGGAGGTGATGACTCCGCCCCCGGTGGCGCCATTTTCAGACGATCGGTGACTTTCCAGAGTCTGGACTCTGTGCCTTATGGTGGGACGCGCTGAGAACGTAATTTTTTATATACGTGTCATGGCCGCCGACCTGCAGACCGCACCCAGCGCGCCGCCTATTCCCCCATCACCGGAACTCCGGCGAGCGTTATACTTGTAAATGTTATTTGTGGTGATAAAAGTTTATTTTGTCTGAGTAACGCGGATCCTGCGGCCTGTTTATTGTGGAGGGTTTATCACCATGGCTCTGCCAACACCGGCGTCATATCCATCCGCAGATACTGGGTGTATCACCTGCGTATACAGGGTCATATCCATCCGTAGATCATACACCCAGTATACAGGGTCATATCCATCCGTAGATCATACACCCAGTATACAGGGTCATATCCATCCGTAGATCATACACCCAGTATACAGGGTCATATCCATCCGCAGGTGATACACCCAGTATACAGGGTCATATCCATTCGTAGATCATACACCGAGTATACAGGGTCATATCCATTCGTAGATCATACACCCAGTATACAGGGTCATATCCATCCGCAGGTGATACACCCAGTATACAGGGTCATATCCATCCGCAGATCATACACCCAGTATACAGGGTCATATCCATCCGCAGATCATACACCCAGTATACAGGGTCATATCCATCCGTAGATCATACACCCAGTATACAGGGTCATATCCATCCGCAGATCATACACCCAGTATACAGGGTCATATCCATCCGTAGATCATACACCGAATATACAGGGTCAAATATGATCAGATGGTGGAGTCACTTCTCCCCCGTCCTCCTTTGTGTCTGCACCAGCCCCCGCCTTCCTATCCTCCAATGTGTCTGCACCCCCAAACAAT